GAGAGAGAGAGAGAGAGAGAGAGAGAGAGAGAGAGAGAGAGAGAGAGAGAGAGAGAGAGAGAGAGAGAGAGAGAGAGAGAACTGAGCGATATAAGATTGGTTTGCTACGTACCTGCGCTGAGATATTACCACAGAGAGAGAGAGTTGAGTGATGTGAGATTGGTTGTGCGGTCCAAGACGAAGTAGCGGCCATAGCCACAGAGCTCGTACACGGGGTTCACGAAGGAAGGAGAAGTTGAGACGGGAGAAGGGACCGGAGAGGAAGAGGAAGACATAGCTGAGGACTGAGGAAGGAGGGACAACGAAGGTGAAGACAGACATAGCCAAGGGTGAAAAAAAAAAAAAAAAAAAAAAAAAAGAGAAAGAAGAAAGGTGAAGGAGGGGGAAAGAGAAGTGAGGGTGGCGAGGAAGAAGGTGTCGGCAGCCATAGCCGACTTGGAGGGTTGACCGAGCGTTGACCAAGGGTTGACCGGGCGTTGACCGAAGGGTTGACCAGAGCGTTGACCGGGGTTTGATCGCGTTGACCAAGCGTCGACCGGAGCTGCTGACCACGATTTTGACCAAGCTGGAGTTGGTATAATCTCGCCAAGCCCTCAGCCTCTCCCCTCGCCTTATGGATGTGCACTCACCCTATGGTACTTGCTGAGTCTGAGTTTGATTGTCTCTTCTTTCTGCATTGAGTCTCTTCTGTCTAGGTGATAGGCTTCCGTGTATGAAGGATAGGGCCTCGTTGACCAAACCCACACGGGCTGAGTAGGGCTAAAGACTGTGTCTGACGACTCGACTGTCCCGGAGGACACGAACCCTCCCAAGGACCGGTACTGACCGGCAGGCTGCTCGGTTTGGCACGGTAGGCCCAAAATCCGAGTTGTGGGCTGCACAATGGGCCGTCTAAGTTTTGAGAGAACCTGCTGACCGCGTCGTCCTGTCTGCGACGTTAAAGAATTCCTGAGGAGTTACGGGGGATAAAATGCCTCCTGGTCAGCAACAGGTTTTGTAGTGACGGTTGTAGTGATTAGAGTAGGTCTAGGCTAGAGACCCTAGTTGACAGGATCCAGTCCGGATTCTGTGGTCTTTAGACTGAGTCAGTAGGTCGTGTCAGTTAGAGGGTAGGTCTAAGTGGTGAGGAGTGGGACAATCTCTATCGTGCACCTAACACCATGGATGATTACCCTATGTACGGCTTGCTTGTGAGGTTCTCCTTGTGGGGGACCCTCTAGCGTCTCCTTTTCTCTCTGGGATTCTGGAACATCTTCACATGCAGAGTAGGCACGAGGGGTGGTACGACTACCAAGCCTTACACAGCAGAACAGGAGGCGAAAGCCGCCGCCCTCCTGAAAGAGAGAAGAGAGAAGAAGGAGGCCAAGAAGAAGGCCCTGATGGAGGAACAGGCGGCGAAGTTGAAGAAGATTGAGGAGGAGATGGCCAGAGAAAAAGAGAGGCTAAAGAGAGAAGAAGAAGAGAAGCTCAAGGCGGTAGAAGAGGAGGAAGAGGTAGAAGAACAGCCACTGGAAAGGCGAAGGGAAGGAGGAAGAGGAGAATCCAGTGGTATAAAAGAAGATCAGTTGGAGAAGAAAATCACAGAGTGGGTTGCTGGTCTATCCCTGGGAGAAGAAGAGGAGGCACTAATGTATGTGCCCAGGGAAGAACAAGGGGCGGCCATGAGAGAGTGGGATGCAGAAGAAGACCCACTTAAGCGCCAGGCCATAGAAGATGAGAAGAGGATGGAGTGGAAGTTTCGATTAACAAGGGAGAGGAAAAGAAGAATGGAGGCGGCGAGCCAGGCGGCGAAAGAATCAGAGGAGGTGAAGAAACAAAGAGAGCAAATGGCGACGCAAGTGGATCTATTGGGGAAGATGGAGATAATGGCGAGGAACAAAGAGCGTCTGGCATAGGTCCAGGAAGAACAATACTTGTTTGGTAGAGGTCAGGACATTGTTGTACGCTCTGTACAGTTGGGGCTCCGAGATTTCGCCAGGGAATTGGCGACGCAGGTGGGCTCAAAGGTGAGGGTCCGCCTAGAGGGCACGAAACGTTATTGTACGGGCGCCATAGAAGGCGCCAGATTGACTGCTCCCAAGGAGGAGGAAGCACGTCCCCGTAGGGAGCCGGTCAAGGTCAAGTTCCCTGACTCCTATAGCGAGAAGCGAGAGGAGAATTTTGACAATTGGGAAGCCAATGTCAAAACCTACGTCCATCTGCAGAAGGTCACCCCGGACGAGCATGTCCTGATAGCTATCCATGCCCTTCGAGACGAAGCAGCAAGCTTTGCCCGTTCCTTGTGCCTCGCTGCTACCTGCAATGATGATCTAGTCGCCTATTCTGCGTTCACTCCTCTCACTGACTTCCTTAAGTTATTAAGGGAACGGTTTGCAAACGTCTCGCGTAGTGTCAAAGCCTTTGATAGGCTACAAACCATCCACTCCCGCCAATGGAAGAGTGTCAGGGCATTTAAGGGCGTTATGGACGAGTTAGTCGCCATCCCGGACCATGGGGTCACAGAGACCCAATTGGTCAACCTTTTCTATCGTGCTATGCCCGAGCAGTTACGCGGGCATTTCTTCGAAAAGAGTCAGCATCCCAACATGACTTATGACGCTTTGAGCAGAGAAGTTGTAGCATTCGAAGCGAGGTCCATGTCAATTTCCACCTTTTGGCATAAGGACCTGGATAAAGGCAACAAGTGGAAGGGTCGCACCATATCGGGTCAGGTCAAGACCAAGGATCGTTTGATCCTTACGTTAGATGAGGGTGGTGTCGACGAAGTCCCCTACGAGCCGATTGAGTGGGGACTAGAGGAGGAGGACAGTGGCGTTAGCCAGGGGAGGACTTACGCTGCTATCACGGCCGGACGGAGGCCGCAAGGAGGAGGTAGAGGCCAGGGCCAAGGGGGGCGGGCCTCAGGGGGCCGTTCCCAGGGCGATCAGGGGGTTGGTGGTAGAGGAGGAAACTGCCAAGCGGGAGGACGGGGTCAAGGTCCCCCGCAAAACCGTTCAGGGAATAGGTCGCCTAATAGGGGTAATAGATCACCCTATAGGAGAAGTGGTTGGCACCCAGGTCTGCCGCAGGGCCGACCTTGGGAAGATCTGGGTCTGGACCAGCACGTCTGGCAACAACGTGTGGACCAGGGGCAGTGCATATATTGCGGTGACCCTGGTCACATCATCAAATACTGTCCGAAGTATAGAGAGGCCCGATGGGCTGCCAAGGGGTCAAAAGGCAGCCGTCGGTAGGGGTAGCAATTGCCCCTACCATAAGGCCATGTGGGCAAATGAGTGCGAGCCGGCAGGAATCTCCCACACCACATGTGCCTATGGCAGAGGTTGCAGGCCGGTGCCTAGATGGCTGTCCAGAGACTGCTTGTGTTAGGGTCTCTCTAGGCACTTCCCTCACAGGCGTGGCCGATGAGCTAAAGGAGAGGATGCCCGCCTGGGCCAAGATGAAGAAGGAGATTAGAGGACAGCTAGTCTTAGTAGATGTAGAGATTTTCAGAGGTAGAGTAGGGGCCCTAGTAGATATTGGGGCCACGTGCAGTTATATCAGTAGAAAGGCGCTGCAGAAGTTGAAGTTGGGGCTGAAAGTCCAGAAGTTAGCAAACCCCGTAGTGAGTATCCTCGCAGACAATCGCACGATGCGAGTAGAGGACTGTGTAGAGGGAGTGCAAGCGTAATTTCGCCTAGAAAAAGATGGGAAAGTGGAGAAAGTTCTCCATTCCCTGACTCTCCTCGTAGAAGATAACCTTCCCTTCGATATAGTCCTAGGAATGGACTAGGGAGAGGCAGCAGGGGCCACACTCCATCTAAGAGAGCACAAGTGTAGGCTCCCTAGTCCGTTAGGCGGGGTTAAGACTGCTCGTCTGTTTCATGTGTCAGGAGTAGATAACTCCCTGGCCCATTGCTGCCTTAGCGCTCCTGCGTTCGCAAGATTAGTGAAGAAGGAGCAGCTAGAGGAACAGGTTTTCGTGGCCTATGTTAGGCCAGTGACTGAGCCTAAAGAGGAAAAGCCCATAGATCCCGCTATCGCCAAGTTGCTGGAAGAGTTTACAGATTTAGCTAAGCCGCCAACAGGAGTAGTACTGCGGCCAATCCAGCATCGTATTGAGATAGAGCCTGGCAGTAGGACTCCTAAAGGAGCAGTGTATAGGATGTCCCCGCGGGAATTAGAGGAGCGGCGCAAGCAGTTAGACGAGCTCCTAGAGAAGGGTTGGATTAGGCCCAGTTCGTCTCCATTTGGGGCACCTGTTCTGTTTGTCCCCAAGAAGGAAGGAGAGCTAAGAATGTGTATAGACTGTAGGGGTGTCAATGCGATTACATTGAAGAATGCAGAGCCGCTGCCCCGTGTAGATGATCTTTTAGAGGGGTGCAAGTATTTTTCGAAGATCGATCTCAAGTCCGGATATCATCAAATAGAGATCCATCCGGATGATCAGTATAAGACCGCGTTCCGTACTAGATATGGGCACTACGAGTTCATAGTCATGCTCTTTGGACTAACCAACACGCCAGCGACTTTTCAGCGTTGTATGAATGATTTGTTTAGGTCGTGGTTAAACAGATTTGTAGTAGTCTACTTAGATGATATTCTAGTGTTCAGTAGGACCCTCCAGGAGCTTGAGGGTCATCTAAGGAAGGTCTTGGAGAAGCTCTGAGAGGCTAACTTCAAGATCAACGCGAAGAAGTGCGAATGGGCAAAGACCCAAGTTTTATATATAGGCCATGTCTTAGACGGAGACGGCATTAAACCAGAAGATAGCAAGATTGCAGCGATTAGGGATTGGCCTACGCCCCGCACGTTAACAGAGTTGCGGTCGTTCCTAGGCCTAGCTAATTATTACAGGAAGTTTGTGAGAAACTTCTCCACTATCACTGCTCCCCTTCGCAGGTTGCTGAAGAAAGAAACAATCTGGAAGTGGGATAAGGACTGCACGTCTGCCATGAAAAAGTTGAAGCAGGCACTGATAGAGTACCCAGTCCTTAAGGTAGCCGATCCGTCCTTACCTTTCGTTGTCACCACTGACGCGAGCCAGTATGGTATAGGTGCTGTATTACAGCAAGACGATGGCAGTGGATATAGACCCGTAGAGTTTATGTCTGCTAGGATGCCTTCAGAGAAGGTAGCGACATCTACCTACGAGAGGGAACTCTATGCTCTCAAGCAAGCATTAGAACACTGGAAGCACTACTTGCTTGGGAGGCACTTCAAAGTCTATTCAGACCACGAGACTAGGCCAAGATGACACCTAAACTGACTAGGTGGGCCGCTGAGCTAGACCAATATGATTTTGAGCTCAAGCCAGTAAAGGGAAATATAATGTAGTTGCGGACGCTCTAAGTAGGAGAGCTGACTACTTTTGAAAGATAGTCCATTATCTAGATATAGGGAGAGACCTGCAACAAAAAGTTAGAGAGGCGTATGTGCAGGACCCTATTTATAGTGACCTCCTCAAGAAAGTAAAGGAGGCCCCAGAGTCATAACCAGACTACCGCACTATTGATGGGTTGTTGTTTGAGAAGACTAACATAGTTGACCGATTGTGTGTCCCTAACAGTGAAGAGATCCGTAGTTTGATCCTAGGGGAATGCCACGATACTGAGGGAAATTTTGGTTGGCGAAAGACTCTAGCTAACCTCATGCGCGCGTACATATGGCCTGGGATGAAGGCCGACTGCATAGAGTATGTTCGCAGTTGTAAGGTCTACCAGAGAAATAAGACCTCTACGCGTGCCCCTCTAGGTCTTCTCAGACCCTTGCCTATTCCTGATCAGCCAGGGAATTCAGTGTCCATTGACTTTATGGACACCCATGTCAAGAGTAGGCACGACAAGAGCCAAGTCATGATAATAGTTGATAGATTCAGTAAGTATGCTGTTTTTGTTCCTTTGCCTTCAGAAGCACGCACGGAAGTAGTTATTCAAAAGTTCTTTGATCATTGGGTCAGTGAACACGGGATTCCACTGTCTATAGTTAGTGATAGAGACACCCGGTTCACTAGTCAGAACTGGCAGGAGTTGATGAGAGTTTATGGCTCCAAGTTGTTGATGTCATCTGGCCGTCATCCAGAGACTAACGGTTAGACTGAACAAATGAACAAGATCCTGCAGCAAGTTCTGCGTATGTACATTAGACCCGATCAGATCAACTGGGACGAGATGTTACCCAACGTAGCCAGTGCGTACAACAACAGTGTGCACTTGTCTACCTGTCGCACTCCCAACGAGTTGCACAAGTCCTTTAGACCACGCAAACCGTTCAAAGGACTTAACCGGGATCAGATTCACAGGCTACCGCCCGGTACTAGGGAGTTTGCGTTACAGCACGAGAAAGAGTTAGCTACATTGTAGAGAACCTCAGGAAGGCCCAGCACCGAATGATAGAACAAGCCAATAAGCCCCGTCGCCCGTCACTATTTCAAGTGGGCGACCTGGTCTGGGTCAAGTCTAAAGAGTTTGCTCCTGAGGAGAATACCTCGTAGAAGTTACTGCCCTCATATAGAGGACCGTGGCCAGTTCTAGAAGTTAAGGGCGGAGAGGATGGGCCGTCCTACACAGTAGAGATCCCAGCACACCTCCACACCTACCCTGTGTTTCATGCCTCAAAGTTGTTGCCATGTGTCACAAGTCAACAGTTTCCATCTAGATCCATGATTCCTCCAGACATGGACGGAAGATATGACATTGGCGGCATTGTAGGTAAAGACGTGTTCAGAACAGGAGGTAGAGGTCGTCCGCAGAAGCAGTATAAGGTTCGATTTGCTTATCAGGAGCCAGAATACGACCGCTGGTTTACTAGAACTGAACTTCTAGAAACAGCTCCCGACGTAGTTAGAGCCTATGAAAGAGATAAGAAAGGTAAAGGTCCTGCCTTGGACTGAGTTATTCTCGGAGGACCTCGAATTTAGGCAGGCGGGAGTGAAACGGTTTTCACCTGTTAGCAGTAGCGAATACAGATCC